CTTTTTCTTCTCCAAAATCATAAATCCCTGAAAACATTAAGTTGATCATAGTTTTTCTTCTAGGACAACACTTTGTTGCTATGTGGACAGCATTGAATTGCTTCTTTACCAAGCCCCCACCTTCTCCCTTTTTCCTTGTTTCTACTCCTTATTCATTTCTTCATTGAAAAAAAAAAGCATAGTTTCTCCTCTATCTCTCCTCAGGGAGCAGATTCCATGGTAACTGGGCTCAAGTTGAAGAGACTCTACTCTGTCTCAGATCAGACCAGTTTCCTCAAATGGCCAGAGTGACAGTCCTGGCAGCTGCTCCCCAAATAACCACACAGAGACTTAATATTAACTATAAATGCTCTGCTGATGGCTTAGGTGTAGATGGAGGTTTCTGTCTCACCTGGTCCTACAGTCCCTTAGTCCCAAATAAACACACAGAGGCTTATATTAATTATAAACTGTTTGGCCAATGGCTCAGGCTTCTTGTTGACTAGTTCTCTGGTAATTATTAACCCACTTCTATTAATCTATATATTTCCATGTGGTCTTGGCCTGCATGGGGAATGGCCTGCATCCCATCTTCCCAGTAGCTACACGGCATCTTCCTCAAGACTCTCTCCTTGACTTTCTCTTCCCAGCATTCTCCTTGTCTGGTAGCCCCACCTATACCACCTGCCTGGCTACTGGGCAATCAGAGTTTTATTCATCAACTAATTAGAGAAACATATATTAACAGCATACAGAAGGACACCCCCTATCACTTAGGCTTGTTTTTAAGCGAACTCTTATATGTTAAGTTTACCCATTTCTATTAATCTATGTGCTGCCCTGAGGCTCGTTTACCTCATCTATGGACTTCCCATATTGCCTCTTTTGTTTCTATCTCATGACTCCTCAGATTCTACCCTTCTCCCCAGAAATCTCTCTGCTCCACAAAATCCTGCCCAGCTACTGGCCATTCATTTTTTTATTCAGTGACATGTGTTCACACAGTGTAAAGGAATGTTCTGTATGACGGTGAATCTCAGAATCATCAGCATCATCTCAAAGCTGCTCTCGAAGCTTCCAGCATGTTTTGCAAGCAGGGAGTTGTTTCATGTCCTGGCATGTGTCATGCACCTACAGGCGCTCTCTTCCTGTGTCTTCCAGCACCATTGTTAAGTACTGCCCATCCTCTGATGTCCACCACCTGGCAGCACCTGCCATCCTGGAGCTGGGGCAGAATGTTGTGGGCTGCACACACACAGCTCTCAGCAGATGTGAGTTGGAGCAGGTCACACTCCAGTATATCGCCCTGCTCCTTCACCTACATGTCACCAGCACAACAGCTGCACAGGGATGTCGCTATCTGGGGCAAGGGGTGGGGGTCAAGTTGTCTCACAGCAGACAAACTGAGCACGGGAAGTCCTGTGACTACTCTATGGAAGGATCTCTGTGGTTACTTCCCTACCTCTGTTCCACTCACACTCAAGACTACTCAAAACTTTCCCAGGACCCTCGCTTGTGTTTCCTCCATCGCCTCCAGTCATTAACCTGTTCTTTCTTTAAAATTTTTAATTATTATTATTCTAATGGTGTGTGTGTGTGTGTGTGTGTGTGTGTGTGTGAGATGTGTGTAAATGAGTGCAGGTGTACACATGCCAGAATGTGTGTGTGTGTGTGTAAGTAGGGGGAGGTCTGCAACTTTCTGGAGTTGGTTCTTCCCTTCTATCATAATATTGAACTCAAATCATCAGGCTTAATTGACAAGCTCTGTTGTCTGCTGAGCCATATTGCCAGCCCAACCAATTCTTAGTACACAATGATTTAGCTGTCTCTGTCTTGTTCTGGACCACTGTTTTCCAAATCAAGGGAGCCCATGCAAGGTATCACTGTCAATAGATCTGGTTTACTCCAGAGGAGATCCACTTGAAGATTTTGCCCTCTCTAGGAAGCCTTTGTGCCAGATCTCCCAAGCACAAAGAAATGGAGGATGTGGGGATGGTGATAAGGCTTGGAACTGCTCCACTGCAGAAACCATTCCTGGAAGTGACAGTAACAGGCTGGCGGGCAGCTTAAGGCTAGTCTCACCTTGGGTGTCATGCCAGGTTGCATCTGAGCTTTCCATTTTGGTTGGCAGAACATAGATCAAGGGAATTAAGAGGCGGTTAGGGGTTCAGAAATCCTCTAGGAAGACAGACACCACGTATAAGTTTGCTTGCCAGGTGCAGGACATAGCCATCAGGTTTGAGTATACATGAAGACCAAGAGAAAAGTTCACCATCACCAGCCACTCCCTCAATCCCTTCTTCATCCAACTCCCACGCCATTCAACCACCTCCCACTCCCATGGATGATCATTCAAAGTGGAATTCTAGCTTCAAGAAAAGTAGGGCAATGAAATGAAATCTCAGATACCAAGGGCAAAACTTTCAGCAAACATGGGGTCTGTAGGAAGGGTTATAGCTCAAGGCCAATGTGATTCACTCGGTAATCAATGCAGAACTCTCTAAGCTCCAAGGACTAATAAGGACAATAGGGCAGTAAAATAGACACAAGACTTTTCTGAGTGGACACACAGCTATGGCAACACCTGCCACCTCTCTGCTCTGTTGGATAGTGGAGGAAGGACTAGAGTGGGCTATTTATGTACTGAGCCAGCAGAGCCAGCTATGTTGGACTAGGGCAGGCAGAGGAAGAGGAGCCAGCATATGAGACTGGCCATCCTCAGCCATAAAGGGTAACATTAATGATTAAAATAGCACTTTGCTATTTTAATTTTGGTCTTGGGCCAACCTAAAGTGGTAGAAAAAAAAATATCACAAGAGTCCAGGTATCTCTGGGCTGGGCTGGCTGAAGCCAGTTACCAGTTTGGGACCTCTTGGTGTCTATTTTCCTCATTTGTAAAAATCAGGAAGTCTAGCTAAACTAAAGGCTTTCAAAGTGTCCTTTTGAAACTGGCAGTGTCATGTCACCTGGTGGCTCATGAGAAATGCAATTTCTTAGTTCTATCAGATCAGAAACACTGAAAGTGAAACCCCAAAACCTGTGCTTCCACAAGTCTGCAGGTAGCTCTGAGCCTAGCAATGTCAGAGACGAGATGGCCTAAATAATTCTCAATCTGCATGCCCAGATGCCTCTGCATCTGCTAAAAGAGATGAAAGGCGCCCACCCCTGCTCTTGCTCACACAGACACCCCCAGAGCAGGTCTCAGCACACAGCCTTTCTCTTTAGGCTGTTGCTGAGCCAAGGCTGCCTCTGCGAGGGATGGATTGGTGCTCTAGCCAGCCAGTTAGAGAGGATATAACGTTCTTGTCTCCTTTACCTCCTGCCCAATTAGCCAGAGGTAAGTTAGGAAGATTTACTCTTTTCCACAAGCAAGGTCACAACCTGAGGTTGTCATAGAAGCTAGTTTCCACCCTGGCTCTCCTGAGACTGGAGCAGCGGATTGGCTAGCAGGCAGATGGTTCTGCCTGGTAGCAGGGATTTAATAGGCAAGGCGATGCAGGGAGGAGAACGGAGAGGAAGAGTAGCTCTGCTAAGCCTGTTGCCTTCTGCTTTAAAAAAAAAATTATAGATCTATTTATAACCTGTGTTGTTCCACAAAGGATTTCAAGCAGCTGCCTTCCTTGTTGGAAAATCCTTGATGCCAATTCTTGGCATCTGATACCAAGGACTTCCTGGTCCCAATCAGGGGGCCAAGTCTTTGTTCATGTAGCCTCAACAGAGCACATAGTGGGTACCCTAGCCTTTGTGTTTTAGAATATCTATCTTTCTGCATCTCCCTTTTTCCTGCCTGTCTCCATGGAGGATACAGTCAGCATCTTGTCTGCCCTTGTTTCCAGTGGGCATATAACCTGCCCTTGTTTCCAGTGGGTATATAACCTGCCCTTGTTTCCAGTGGGTATATAACCTGCCCTTTGTTTCCAGTGGGCATATAATCTGCCCTTGTTTCCAGTGGGCATATAACCTGTTCTTGTTTCCAGTGGGCAATATAACCTGCCCTTGTTTCCAGTGGGCATATAACCTGCTCTTGTTTCCAGTGGGCATATAACCTGCCCTTGTTTCCAGTGGGCATATAACCTGCCCTTGTTTCCAGCGGGTATATAACCTGTCCTTGTTTCCAGCGGGCACATCATTTGTAACCTGATAACTCCTGGTTTGCATCTTTTTCCATCTGGGTTAAATAAGTTTAAAACTGGTTTGAGACTTGATTGTCAGAGCCCTGTAAATAAAGGGAATCCTTCAACTTTCCCCTGCTATCTCCATCAAAGGAAAATGCCAAGTGCTCCATTACAGATTGGACTCAGCCCTGGACTTAGTTTGGATTTTAAGTGTTCCCTAAATTAGGTATATACGCAACATGCCTGGTTCATAGTAAATGTTTAATAATCATTGCCTTAAATAAACAAAATGAGCTCCAGTGACATGGAATGATACCAGGACCTCTTAGGAAGTGATGGGCTGGGGTCATTGATTCAGCTAGGTTTGTTCCCTCACAGGGATAATTGACACCTGAGCCTAAACTTCAAATTCTGGTCTTGTTTTTTCCTTTTCACTGATGTCCTTAGCCTGGAGCTGAATTCAACAATTGAATTATTTGTTGTTGTTGTTTTTTTTTTTCTCTTCCAGAGTGAGCAATTTTAGTTCCTTGACAAATCTCCCCATAGGAGGTTATGTAAAAGGCTTATTGCCTTTGTGATATTCAGCATGTGGAGACAGCCACATGCAGTGACACCCGGCTGAGTGTCTCTGTAAAGGGCTGCCATATTCTGGCTCCCCGAGTCCTTGGGCCCTGGACTTCAGACACGCCAGACCTCTGACTCATAATCTGCCCCTGTGTAGTTGAGCTTCCATTGCTTTGTCTATTGGTGTTCGTCTCTTCCCTTGCTGCTTACACACGGTATTCTTTTTTGGAATCTGACTAACTACGACAAAAATGGGTGGGGAAGAGCCAAGGGCAAAGGGTAGGCAAGATGCTTCTGAAGAAGGGAAGCTTAGCCTGCTAAGTGTCAAGACTCATTATTAGTAGCATTTGTGTGGTTTTTCTTTTGTTGAGCAGGTGGACAGAGATTTAAAAGCCAGGTGCTAAACAAATACTCTTTTGTAAGCCAGGATTCGTTGTTCTGTGCGCGTTCTGGTACATGTGAAAAGGAATATGATGATGAAAAGAACTGCATTAAGCAATAGAAATTGTAACTTTGTTGTCAGTGCAGGGATAGGCTAGCACACAATAGAACAGAAGAGAGAATGTAGAACAGACTGTACTTGAACAGTGGACACTAGAGGTGGCTACAGGGGACAGTGGCTATAGGGGACTGTGGTTATTTTGAATGATCCTAGAAATCTAGTTTCCTTAACATGGAAAACATAAAATGAATCTCTATCATATATAAAGAAGAAAGCGTATGAGAGAGAGAGAGAGAGAATGTGTGTACATATATATGGCAAATTTGAGACTATTTTTAAAACCTTTGTTTGTTCATTTATCACTGGGGGGACATGATATGACATCAAATGTAGAGGTCAGAGGACAACTTGAGGAAGTTAGTGGGTCTCAGGGGTTGAACTTAGGTTGTCAGGCTTGGTGACAACTGCCTTTGCGTGCCGAACCCTCTCACTGCCCATGAAGCACTTGTTAAGTATACCCTATTAATGTAAGTTGGGCTACAGGATCCCATGTGCTTCCCAATCCCAAAACTAAAATAAAGTTCCTGAAGGAATAAAAACAGCATTATTCTCATATATGAAGCACAGACATATGTATGGTATAGAAATATTTACTCACAGGATTAAAATGTCAGTGAAACGATTAGGGGGGAAAAAGTCTGAAAAACTTTAGGAGGTTGAAGGGTTGAGGCGCCTTTGTCACTGGTCTATTGCTGAGAAGAGACACCATTATCTCAGCAGTTATTTATATTCTCTCTCCTCTTTTCTATCTTGCCATTTAATTCTGTGCCTTAAGGTTTATGCCTTTATGAGGCCATGTGTTCCTACCTCCTTGAAGTCCCTGACTCTCACCCCCGCTGACTGGGTCCTGTATAAAGACTTGGGCCCATGTCCTTCCACATGTCACCCTGCCTGTCCCCAGAATGCTCAGCTCACATTGTCTCCAGAGTTTCTTACAAACTAGATGTTAATAAAAACAGAAAATAAATTGCAAATAAATAAATAAAAAGAAAAAAGTAGGTAGCAATATCACTGAATTTGACTAAATATCTAGCTACTAAATAGCAAAACAGAGATTCCAATAAAGATGTCAGAAATTAAGTTGCTATCGTGGAATCTCTCATCAAATATGACTGGGACTACACTAGCCCTACGTTGTCTAAGATCCCTAGAGGATGCCAAAGATCAGAGATAGTACAGAGACTTGTAAATAATGCATTTCCCAATATGTACATGTGTTTGATAAAGCTTAATCTTTACATTAGATACAATAAACTATTAATAGCAATAAATAGAATGAAAATAATAATATACTAGAGTACAAGTTATAAATCATTTGCTTTTGAAATTTGTCCTCTAGCATTTTCAGATCACAGCTGACGGTTGGTAACTACAGTGAAAGGACCTAAGTCATAGATAAAGAGAGTTATGGTGACTGAAAAAGTCATTTAGGAAAAAAAAAAGAAAAAGAAAAGGTCATTTAAGGCAGTCATCGCTGCTGCAGACACCCCCATCTCAAAGAATAAAATGAAAACGGAACATACCTGCCTTTAGAACTGCAGGCTATGGGGATGCCTGCCCATAATCCCAGAACTCAAAGCTGAGGCAGGAGCATCAACAGTTTAAGACCTGCCTAGCCTGCACAGTACACCCGTTTTAAACAATAACTTTAAGAAGTGGACAAGCTGACACAGACAGACAAGCCTGTCCTTGAGTGCAGAGGTTTCTGCTGTTTGGGTGAGTGCCTCGGTTCCCTCATGTTGTTTATGTAAGATGGTACAGGAACACAGTCCCTCTAGAAGCCCAAGGTTAAAGAGCTTGCAACAGACAAATTACCAGAGTGACTTTGTCTTTCTGAGCACGAAGCCAAGCTGCATAGGGCTCTATAAATTTAGTGGAATTGCAGAGCTGCTTGGCTGGCTGCCGGAGGAGGCTTGGGGTGGGAACAAAGAGGCTAAGCGGTGAGATGCAGGATGCCAAAGAAAACTTGATCTAAGCTGTAACAGTGTCTCTAGGCATGGCTTCATACATAAAAGCCTTCAACTGGGCCTGCCCTTTTTTGGCGTGTAGGGTGCAGGGCAGGGGGAGGGGAGGGTTGTCCCGCAATTAGGGAGGGGCTCTCTGACGTCGAGGACAGCATCTTCCCTGGTCTGTGTTCTGAGGCCAGAATCTAGTTCATGACTATTTAAAAACCTTAACTTGCCCCTGCAGTGCTGGTGGGTACTCTTGGAATTAGCTTGTGAGTGTGATTTCCTAGGGCTTGTGAGCGCTTAACAAGTCCCTAGGAGATTCCATACATGTATGTGTGTGCATCTCTACATAAGTATGCACATATGTATGCATGAGTTCTGAGATCTTTGACTTTCCAAGCCAGGCAAGCACAGGCACAGGCATTGAAGTAAGCCAATGTCCCCCTGGTGTGCGGTCCCTGTAATATCAAGTTACTTACATGTTTTATTTTCCATAAAATATCTTATTTTCCCCATGCATATCTCAGAGCATGCAGGAGAGGCCATGCAAGTCCAGCCTGGTTGTCACAGCAGGACCTGGGGACAACTCCTAACAAGCAATGGTGCTTACTGGAATGCTGGCAGCCCTTGTTGGGGAAGTACACAGGCCACAGGGTGTGCAGGCATGCCATCCTCTGCCCACCCACAGCCTGGATTAGGAGAGCTGCTGCCCAACAGAAAAGCAGGGCAATGCACACTGAACTTCTGGCCAGCACCCTACCATTTATTGCTCGTGGTGTAACTTGGGTTCTGAAGACATTTGGATTGGGCAGGAAGGAGCCCACCCCCCACCAGGCCTGGCACAGAATTGGTAGAATACTACTCTAGAATACTTTCCTGATTCCCAAGATATTAAAATTATAGCCCAGAGAAGTTCCTGACTTTCCCCAAGTCATTCTGCTCATTGCACAGGCTACTTGTAGCTTTTTAAAGAACTGAAATCTTAAAATTTTTTCATTAATTATTACACCAAATGAATATTAACATCTTGTATCTCCCTTGAGTAGTTTAGAGACTTTGTTCAAGTTAATCTGTTTCTTTTTTTTTAATTGTAAAACAGAGTAAATAACACTTTCCAGGATGACTTGGAGGGTAAATAATGTGTGTGATACTCAAAACAAACAAACACTTGGTCCTTACTTCTTCCTTCCTGTCCCCCTCCTTTCCCTCCCCGGGTTTTTGAGAGCATTTCTCTCTGTAATTAGCTGTCCTTTGCAGAACAGGCTAGCCTCAGACAATCATGTACCACCATGCCTGGCTCCATCCTGCCTTTTAAAGATCATAACAAACCAAAGAAAATTCCTGTTCCATTGACAAGCTAAGCTCAGATTCACACTGCAAAGCTGTGTAAATAGGAATGTCCTAGGCAGTTCAGGTGAACCAAGGGCATTGCATAAGGTGCTGTGGGCAGGGTATGACCCTGGAATGGGCATGAAGTTGGGAAGGGGTATGAACTGACAGAAAAGTCTCCAAAGGAGAATTAAAAACTTTCCTCCCAGCTTAGAAAACAGTGCTGAGGGGCTGGAGAGATGGCTCAGAGGTTAAGAGCATTAACTGCTCTTCCAGGGGTCCTGAGTTCAATTCCCAGCAACTACATGATGGCTCACAACCATCTGTAATGGGATCCAATACCCTCTTCTGAGGTGAAAGCCAACATGCAGATGGAACATTGTATACATAATAAATAAAATAAATCTTTAAAACTAAAACAAAAACAGTGCTGAAGGAGAGGACTTTGGAGACAGGGGGTTGACAGTGACTATCGAGAAGAACAGCTCTCAGGTATACAGCTGGAAGTCTCAGTAAGCAAGGAGACTGGCAACTTCCCACTAGCCCAGAGATTCTGAAGGAAGACAAATGGGGGCATTCAGCCTCAGGTCTCCATGGTAATCACGTCATAGCAGAAAGTCATGTGGGTGGCATGTCTGCAGAGACAGTCTGCCACTCTGTAGGCACATAAAGTTAGGGAGAATTAGAGAGTTCCCGAAGCCCCCTGGGAAGAGGGATTTTGAGCAGTGATTTAAAACTTTCCTGGGTTCACTTCCCTTCTGGTTAAAGCTCTGTGCCATGGGTGTTTGCAAAGCAAGGAGGGCCTCTTGACTAGCATTTTCGCATACAGAGAACAGCAAAAGACAGTTTCAAGACATTTCTGTGTGGGGCCTGGGGAGATGTCCCCCCTGGCTAAGACTGTCTATTGTGCAAGCATGAGGAGCTGAGCTTGATCCCCCGGGCACCCATATAAAAGCCAGGTGTGACCCTGAATACCTGTAGCCCAGCACTGTTTCTACTGGTGGGGAGAAACAGGAGTTTCACTGGGACTTGGTGGCCATCCAGTCTAGCCCCAAAGTGGCAAGCTCTGGGTTTAGTGAGAGACCCTGTCTCCAGAGGGAAGGCAGGGGGTGAGAGAGTAGGACACCAGCCATCCTCCTCCAGCCTCCACACTGGGAGCATGGGTATTGTTCACCTCTACATACATGGATGTGTATACACCCATATGCAACACACACTCAGTCTGGTGCTTTTGTAGCAGTGATGGGCAGTAGGAAAGTCTCATGTCTATGGCTGTCCCATAGGACCTATAGAACAAAATGTGACCTTCATTGAAAGGAATGTGCATAGAAACATCCCTCAACTGTAATGCTAACTCGGGCTCAGTTGTAGTTCTCTGTCTCTTCAGGCTCCCCCAGCAGAACCCAGAGGGCACACGGTGAGGATCCCTGGCTCTCCCGAGGCCACACTGGCCTGGAGAGACAATACAGTTTGCAGTTGGAGGGCTACACAACAACCTATCCCCTGACCTCTAAGGAGAATCTCCTGCTTGTTTAGCTATACCAGGCAGCCATCCATCAGTAACTCTGAGATCCAAGAACCCAGCACCGAAATGCAAGGAACCCAGGCTGCAACCATCCCCCAGGTCTTCTACACAGATGTGTGTGTGTGTGTGTGTGTGTGTGTGTGTGTGTGTGTGTGTGTGTGTGCCAAG